TTTGAAATCCAATATCTCAAAATTCAATGATCCAATTTAAATGAAAATACTCCATTAAATTTGTCACGACTCCACGATTCTTATGATAATATCTTTATTTAAATGAGATCACTAGATTACAAGAAATTGGGTTCCAAAATGATATTTTCATTTTTGAAATTTCCGGTAATATATTGTGGGGGTGTGTACGTCATACTTTTAAACCTACGATGATTTCCCAAATATAGTACTAGAACAATATTACTGCATAGAGTGTAGAAGTTTATTAATATTCCATCAAAATGTCAGAAGAAGACGACGAAATATACGATGTCGAAGCAATTTTAGACCGAAGAATAAAGAATGGTCGAGAAGAATACGAAATAAAATGGATTGGCAAGTAATAAGACGCATACACTTCACTTTTTCGAGTTTTTACTCACACTTGAAATACAATAGGCTATGAACAAACAACTTGGGAACCGCGTTCCAATTTAAACTGTGACAAGTTACTTCGTGAATTTCTCGATAAAATAAACCCTAAAGCGACTGAGACGCGAAAAAAGCTTAAGCAAATTGGTGACGACGAAGTAGAAGTAGCTTCAGATTCTAATTCCTCTTCTTCAGAAAAGGTTGCCATTGATGAGCTCTCGGTGGATTCTGATGTGGGTGTGGAGGAACCTCCTGAACCACCGCCGCCTCTTACAGAAGCAAAAAAGGAATTCTTAGCGAAGTTGGGAATATATACAACAACTACTGAACCAACAAGATCAACAACGTCTTCAGTATCAAGATCCACCCAACATAGAGAACTTCTAGAATCTTCACAGAGTAATAGTAAATCGTATTTGAGAAAACCCCAACTTCGAAATCCGACTGCAAGCATCCAAAAGAAAACAGTTAACAAAAAAGAACTTGTAAAGAAAATGACGTCTGGTATCAGAAAAACACAACTAGAAGGAAAAAGTCGATCAAATTTGCAGCAAAACAAGATTTATAAAATCAGGAATTCAATGTATACAAGATCAATGGGTGCTCCTAGCATCAGTTACCACATTGACAATACAAAAGATGATATAAAAGAGAAGCTTTGGTCTATGAAAATTCCTAAGAAAACATCTAATGAAATAAGAATGTCAGATTTATCTTCAGATCTGAATCAAATTCAAGACTCTACATCTTCAAATACTTTAGATAAAGAAGTTATCAAGTTATCTAAACAAAAGGTAAAAGAATATTTATTTTTGAATTTTCATTTAATATAATAACAAATCTGATATTGCAAAATTATAAATCAGATAATTTTATTATTATTAATTAATAAAATTTTTTTTAATTTATTTTAGTTAATTGAAATAAAAAGCTGGAAAGGTTACTTATATAAAAAAGAAAAAACTGATAGATATATTGCACAAATTGAAATTAAATCTTTAAATATGCAATCAGATGAAAAATTATTGTAAGTAATTTAATATTTTTTTTTAAATTTTTTAATAAAAAAATTGATTAAATAGTATTTATAAAAATAACAATTTAATTTTGTTATAACTATTATAATCAATTTTTTTTTATAAAAATATAAGATATTTTTATTACTCTTTATTTTTTATAATATAAAGTAATTTAAAAAATCTTATATTTTTATTTATATATAAAATATTAAATATAAGTTTATAATAATAATGTTAAATTAACTTTTATTTAATATAAATATAAGTAAATTTAACAAAAAAGAAATATAATAACAGAAAAAATAATATTTAAAAAAATGATTATAAAGAGAATTTAGCAATTTTATATTTAATTTCATTATAAGTCAAGTTAGTTCAATTATTTTCAAAAGATTTGTGAAACAAAGTTTTTGAGAATTAATTGAATTTAAATTATTGAATTATTTGCATATATAATAAGTTATTTATATAATATTATAATACAATATTCATAATTGTAATATAATATTTATAAATAATATCATTTTAAGTATTTATATAAATTTCTTGGAGTCATGTGCAAATCATGATCTGGATCTGTAAAAAGTGTAATTCTTATTGGTTATAATAATAATGAATTATGATTGGATGATGAAAGAAATAAGAAATCTGAATTTAATTTAGACTAAAGTATAATTATAAATTTATAGTGCGACTTTAAAATCCGAGAACGAAATTTACATGGACTTTATAATAACGGAGTCATCTATGATAGACTTTCACAAAGCAGAACCATTTTCTGCAACATTGTATACAATGACAGCTCTATCAAACGAATATCGATTTAAGGATGAGATCGAAAAATTAAAACTTGGAAATATGGTAAGAATATTTTAATATTTATAAGAACATTCTATTTATTGACTGATTATGAATTATACATACAGATTGGCATGATCTATGTTCCAAGAACTGAACCTGACGATGTTATTTTTGTATGTGCATCCGCCTCGAATCTTTGCAAGGAGCTTAATATACAGTTTACGTCAGAAAAAAGTGCAGTCATCTTTAGAATGCCTTATGACTTCTTATTAAAGCAAACGGTTAAGTAGCATTGAAAAATGTGAGGCAATTTCTATTGTGAATATAATATTAAGTTATATGGTCAAATTGGATATAACGATATTTTAATTTTCATATATCATTATCGATTGACATGTATTTATAAATTTAACGAGGTAGTCAGGTCGAGCATACATAAGTAGATATAATGGATTTTGGTCATAAAATTCGAGTCTTATTTAATCCATTTCAAAAAATTGTTCAAAGCTTTCGCAATAACGATAATAATTTTAATGTAGATTCTACCCGGCAAGTGGCCCGGGGACGGGTGTCACATAAAACTACCCGAGAGAACACAAATCCTAACGAACAAATCCGAATTTGTTTAATGGTTTCGCAAACCTTATTAGCCTCTACTTTTTTATACACATGAAAAAGTGAATAGCTCTCATGCCATTTTAGGTTTTTTTGATCTTTAGGGCAATACAAACCTCAATTAAAAAGTAAGGAACCAAACCTCACTGTAATATCACAACTTTCCCATCACCTACCACTACTCTCCTCCACGTGGCTGAAAAACCTCGTCGAGACTTTTTCAACATGAGTACCACAAAACTTGGCATTCTACTCATACGCACAATTGCAAAACCAATCGCGAGTAGTATCAAAGTAGGTGGGAAGTTGTTTTTGTGGTATTTTACGTATACCATAAGCAGGAGGTTTAGTGCTGTGTTGTTGGTGAGTGGTGATGATGGGGGGAGAGTTGGGGAAAAGAGAGTTTTTTTTTAAAGTGATTTATTTATTTATTTGTTTATTAAAACCTTTTTTGATGGGATTACGCATTTTCTTCTACGATAAATCTGATTCTCCCTTCACCACCATCATCACTATCCTTTCTCGCGTCATATAACCTTTGTCTATTACTTTCCGATCATTGAAAACATATGTAAGCAGGACTATAGCAAAAGACACGAAAGATTTCGAGAGCTTTGTATTAGCGTTGCGCAGGTATTCTTTCATCATATAATTCAGATCAAATCAAATGTGTGAACCAAGCGTTAGCTAATGGCATTGTTCACTAAATTGTTGTTTGGACCGGAAATAATGATCACACTGAATAAGAAACTTTCCAGATTACAAATCAATAAATGCGCCTAAATTTTTAATTCTAAAATAGGCTACACATCGCCTTGAGATGCAATTGAAACTGCGTCTATTAAATTTACCAGAAGAAAAGATTCGACCTTTGAATGATGCTAAGTAAGTAAGTTTCAGACAATTTTATACGTAAGATATCTTTTTTTTGTGTTTGGGTTTTCTATGGAAATATCTAATTCACATTCTTTTGCGTTTTTTTTTTTTTTTAATTCTTGGATAGAGCAATAGAAGCTGGTGCCAATTTCCTAGGTGAAGCAATAATCTTTGGGATCGCTGGATCATTAATAATATGGGAGCAAACGAGGTTTGTGAGTTGAAATATTTGTTCAATTTCATACTCGATAAATTAATAGAGCGTTATGATTTTTCATTTTCAGATCTTATAAGCACACCAAAGAACGCAATACTCATGTAGACGAAACATTAAATAGATTAGAGAATGAAGTAGCCGAGCTTCGCTCACACCTTCAGAATAATCGCGCTTTTCAAGCGCAATTACAATTACATTTAGATCAAGCTCGCGAGGACAATGAAAAACTAACTAAAATAATGGATCATGTGTTGAACAAAATAGAACCAAATCGAAATAGTGCAAATGGCGGAGATGATGTCGGGGGCAGCAGTAGATCAGGATCGGGTTGGGATAATTCTCCGAGCGGTATTAATAATCGGCATAGAGAACAATTAAATCATTACTCTAATAGACCATCATAATTAGAATAAATTAATTAGAAAATGGGTGGTAATTAATAAAATGGTAATTTCGTTAAGTATTATTTTATTGAATTAGCCCTCTGCCCTTCTAGAAACTTGCACAATTAAAAGGAAATTAAAAATAATTTATATATTTACATTCTATTTAATGGTAAAAAAATCTATAAATTAACAGTATCTATAAACTCTATCACAATAAATTATTTATTATGATTATTAGGATTATGATGGTGATGATGATGATGATGATGATGATGATGATGATGATGATGATGATGATGATTATATTAGTATTATCTAATGCAGCAAATCTATACGATAAGGAAAAAAGGAAAGAAAAAAATAGATGATATCTAGGCTTTTTATTTTCCATGTCGATTTAATATTAGTAATTGTACTTTTCGTTGCACTTTTTGCAAGTCTGCCGCGTTAAGATCATCCAATAGTGCAAATACAGCAGTAAGCACATTTGACTAATTGAAATCATTATGCGAAAAGTTAATTGAATATAGAAGGCTTAATAAAATCAGAATATTATAAATCTCACCTGTCTGGTTTCATTGTCATTTTCCATTTTATTGTTATTACGATTATTTGAAGATTTTGTTGAAGTGTCACTTTCCGGAGATGCAGCCATAATTGTGGCTTCTAGATTGCTAACACGTTTTGGCGCGGGAGATAATATCTTCGGGGAAGGAGTACGACTTGGTGTCATTAGTGATAAAACGGGAGAGAGTGTCTTATTATTTGTCCCTGTAACAGTTCCATTTACTTTAATCGATGATGAAACTCCATTTCCATTTATTACTAATGCTGCTGGAGCTGGAGATGGTGTTCGCCTTGTTATCGCAGGAGATTTCGGTCTATTTACTACTGATGACGAATTGTGATTATTAGAAAGGCCAATTAACGGAGATTTTGCAAAACCGTTATTTGCTCCATTGATCCCGTTGTTCTTGATTGGTGGTGAAGAACTATTTTTGCTGTTTGTAATGGTTGTTAATCCTCGAGTCGTATTGCTTTTTGTTGATGTTGCTATTGATTCTTGAGAGTTACCATTCACCGTAACCAAACTGACACTATCAATCGACAACGACTTAGATGTTGGACTGACGATTGGTTTTGGTTCAACTGTTAACCTTTTTCGAAGTCTTAATGGCATGTCTAAAGGAGTAGAACTCATCGAGGCTAAAACTTCTTCATCTGTCACATCTAATTTAAAGTTTTCTTTTATTAATAAAGATATTTTTTTTTTTGGTAATTATCACTTATTTCCTCATACCGTGATGATCTAATTTTTTTATCCAAGGCAAGTATCGTATGACCACGTATCGATATTCGCGATCATTTTCGGCGCATGGATTATCACATAACCATAACACTTGCAAATTTCGCAATGCCGTCAGATGCTTTACTTGTTCTGCGTCACTAATATAATTTTTCCTCAAATATAATTCTATTTATGCAATTATTTTGGAGAGAAAGTATAATCTTTTGGTTAATAGAAGAATGACATATACACATACAACTTTTGATAAGATATTTTTTTATTTTTTCGCATAATAGTTACAATAAATTCGGCAAACCTATTAAGTTTTTGCCTATTAAAGAATTAAAATAGTGTTATTTATTATGTTTATGAGTATATCTTATATGTGAATTTTTTTTACGGTACTTACATTCTGAAAGTTGTTCCAAAGTAGTAAGGTTATTGACACTTTTAGAGAATAAATGTTAATTTATTAGGCGTTTTTTCTATATTACCTAATTTCTACAACAGTAAGTCCTTCTTAAAGAGTTACCTTAAACTAAGTACCTCGAGGTTCGGGCACTTTTTCAATAAACTCACATTAGTAAGTTCACATGCCCATAGATTCAAGTGCCGTACTTCGCTCAGCGATTTGGCACTCGTTTTCGAAAACAAGATTTTCTCAGTCAACACCGTCATGTTATTATATTAAATATTAATGTTCTACTCTAAATTCAGATTTTCTATTATGGACAGAGATAAAAGTAATATGAGTTAATAGCTATTCTCTCTTTTCGTGAGAATAATGCATGATTTCAAAATTTCTGATTGTGATTATGCTAGCACGGACACGATTTATTTCGCGTGGTCAATTTTTGGCGCACAATGTAATTATAAATTTTAACGTTGATAATTGATTGTCTTTAATGTAATTAAATGATCATTGACATCATTATTGACATTGAATAATCATTGGACATTGGAATGTAATCTAATATCTAATATCTCGAAAAGACTAAAATTTAGTTCTACTCGTAACGGTTTCTATGATTTTTGATGGGAAATCCAACAATTTACTAAAGTAAATTTTGCATATTTTTGCGGACCACGTGTCCGATCCTGATTTATCCGAGCCACTTAAATATTAAGTAGTTTCATAGGTGAAATTTCAAGCGTGTACACACTGATCTTGCAAAAAATGTAGACTCCTGGCATCATATTCAACCCCAGGTCAGCTCAAAAACGTTAAGTAAACTCAACTTTTCGAAGAAGAACGTTCATATGTAAACATATGGCCACGATGTGCTTTCAATTCTCCCAGTGGCAGGCGTAACCAAATAAATTCAAGTGAAACATTATCACCCATTTGATTAATTTTCATATAGTTAGCGCCACACAGGAAAAATTTGGATTAAGTCATTCGCTCGTGTAACAATTTGTAAAAGTAGAAAGAATGATACCACCACCAATTCATCGCGGAATGAAAAATTTGCAGCGAGAATTATTTCGCACTAAAGTGGAACTAGTTGGAGTCCGTATCGCTGCAAATACAACTGCAAAGTTTTTGAAGGTCTTAAAAGAGTATGTAAATGTTTTTTTGATGGTAATCTTGAGGAAAGTAATTGAAACACACTTATTTTCCTTTTTTTGTAAAAGTGATTTATTTCATCAACCAAAAATGAAAAATGTCGCTAATGATCCAGAATCCAACGATGCGAGGATTATTCTACTGAAACCGGAAATTCAGAGTTTAGGTAAATCAATCACGCGATCGATTTTCGCGAAATAGAGAAATGATCATTACAAACAACCAAAAACTCAAAATTTAAGTTTGGATTTAGTAGATATAGTTTTTGGGCGGTGATAGCCTTCGTAGTAGTTACAAGTTTTTCAAAAATCAATTCTCAAGAGGTAATTTCTTTTCACACACGACTATAGAGCAAATCGATGACGCGAACATCTCGCAAGAATCCCGAGACCTGATCAATCAAGAAGCGTTAGGTTTCGTCAAGCATACTGTTGAACTTGACTATGGAAATTGGGGTGCCGGTATATATACATGATCATTCATTAATATATAATGTTAGTAGTTGAATTGTTTGAATTTGATTTGCACGCATGTGAATATTTCGACTTCAAATTAAATATTTCGTTATTTTATTATTTCACTGTCAAAATAACCTATCTTTCCATAAAAAATACTACTAAATCTTTAAAGACGAGATCCTGAAAGCTATTTTGCCGGAAGATAGTGAAGTACCTTCGTCCTTTACACAGATCGGGCATATCGGTGAGGATGATTATACATATGAATTATGAAAAGTTTTATCAATTTTAATATTATTCTATCTCGTATTGTAATCATAGCACATATGAATTTACGAGATGAATTCTTACCATGGAAGGAAATTATCGGCCAAGTGATTCTTGATGTATGTATTCTTACGTGACAAAGAAATTGATCGATATTCTAATTTTTCTTATTATACCAAAAATCTCATTTACCTAGAAAAACCCAAAAATTAAGACAGTCGTCAACAAAACTGATATAATAGATACAACATTCCGATTCTTTAATATGGAAATCTTAGCTGGGATTAATAACATGATTGCCGAAGTGGTATGGTTTTTCTTGGTTCTCTTAACATTACATAAGAAAGCCTAAGTTATAAATATACCATGACAGAAAGAAGGCAATTGTCGATTTCGATTAGATTTTTCTCAAGTGTATTGGAATTCACGACTACATTCTGAGCACGAACGTCTTGCAAACTTATTCAAAAAAGGCGATTATATATGTACATAAAACACGTTATTGATTCATTCAACAAGAATTTTTATCTGTATTGTTATATTCGCTTATAATAATATATAAACTTATGATATGCCAGGTGATGTTTTTGCAGGGATAGGACCATTTGCGGTTCCTGCGGCCAAAAAAGGGTGTATTGTATACGCAAATGATTTGAATCCAGTTTCTTATAAATATTTGCAAGAGAATAGCGTTCTTAATAAGGTATTAATTTTTATTGTTCATCTTATCATGAAGCTATTGTTTTAGTTGAAAGCTAAATAACATTTTTTGACCATAGGTTCAATCAAAGATTTTTTCATATAATATGGACGGACGCGATTTCATACGAAAAGTAGTAAAAGATTTACATGCCAGCTTGGCTTCAAGCTACAACAATAATGACAATGAAAATGAAAAATTATCGAATGATGACAAAGCTGTATCAGAGAGCAAATCAATATCTTTATCATCTTTCACGGATAACGCGAATACCGCATCGTCAGCAATTTCTGCCATTACCACTACTGCGACTTCAACGTCAGTAACCGGGAATACGTTTAAAATACATAAATTTCGAACATTTGATCATTTTATTATGAATTTGCCCGCTACAGCTATAGAATTTTTGGGTACGTGTTTGAAATAATTTATTAGTTTGGCATTAATTTAATACAATTTGATGCAAACTTTTCTATATAATTATAAAGACGCGTTCAAAGGAGTATATCACGAAATGGAATCCGTTATCAGCTCTCCTTTAACAGAATTACCAATGATTCATTGTCATTGTTTTTCAAAGAGTGAAACACCCGAAATTGAACTGATCGAGGTATTTGTATATTTATTTCTTTATTCGTATTCAAATATCGTGCAAGAAAGTAAACATTTATTATTATAGCGTATAAGGTTAGTTTTGAATGAACCTGCGTCTTCCTTACCAAATGATGCATTCGCGGTACATTTTGTGCGGAGTGTTGCTCCAAACAAAGATATGTATTGTGTCAGCTTTCGATTAAATGCAAATGTTGCTTTCGGTGCTGTCCCTTCGAAACCCGAAATCTCAATTTCTTCTTTGGACGTTGCTGAACAAGATGATGATGATGATCACGAGGTGGGACGAGAAAGGTAACGGAAATAAATTTATATTTATCATTTATTAACTTAATAATAACAAGAGTTTTTCATATTTATGACTTTGTATAGCAAGAAAAGGAAAGTTGAGGTGAACAGTGCTGAGGATAATAATAACACCGATGAAATCTCAGAAATTGAGGAAAAATACTAGTAGTAACGCTCGAAAAAAATAAAATAAAATTGTCATCTTTTATTCTTTTACCTATTTGGCTATTTTTTTGATGATAATTTTTCCGATAAAGAATTATTGATCTATTAATTTTTGTTTAACTTTTTTCTGTTGACGTTTTTGAGTATTTTTATCGAATCCGTCACCATCTTCCAACATGGCACGCTTCTTTTTCTGTATTTCTTTTGCGGCACCAAACTTTGTATCATGCAGATGCTAAATATCATTATCGAATAAGAATAAGTAATAAAATAAGCATAGGAAATTTAAAGGCTAGCTATTACCAAAAGATCAATTTATTTACCATAGAAGCGACGCGTTTTGCGGTTGCAATCTCATTTAACGATTCCAATACTTTATTTTCGTTGATTTTCCATTCAACCATTTTCTTATCTACCCAAAGCAGCAACGATAAAAAAATAATTAATTTTTCAGGTATATAATTAAAATTAACTTTTTGCTTAAAGAAAAAACTTTACTTATTCTAGTTTCAATATTTTCTACTAGTTCGACATCACGTTCCGTAACAATTGAAATTGCAACACCGCCTCGTCCTAAAAAGCAAGATATCCAAATAAATTATATATTCCTTGATTAATTAAAAATGGATAGCCGATATTGACCTGCTCTTGCTGTACGACCAACTCGATGAATATAATCAGTCGGATCTCGAGGAATGTCAAAATTAATAACTAATTGAACCGTTTGAATATCAAGACCACTAATTAAGCACGTAAATAAAGATTCAATAATAAGAATTACTATTATCGCAGCTATAAAATACGCAAAAAAATGAAGGAAGGAAAAAATTACCGACTCCCAACATCAGTTGCAATCAAAACTTTGACCACTTCAGCTCTAAATTTTCCAAGACTATTAAGTCTCTCCTGTTGACTCATTGTCGAATGTAAGCTAGTGCATCGAATTCCCAATTCGTACAACATGATACGTAACATTTCGGCTGTTCTACACCTTCCACAGAATATAATGGTGGATTTATCGGTAAAATCGTTGGATCGTAAGAGATATGCTAAATATGGTTCACGAATATGCGATGGTATGAATATGTAATACTGGGCTAAAGTTGAAACTGTAGTTACTCTAAAAGAATCATATTCAGTTAAAATTAATAATCTTGTAGTTCATTTATTAATATTTACACATATTTATAATATTGGACTTACTCAGATTTGACTTGATATAAGAATGGTCTCTTCGAAGGTTCTTTATCTGGATCACTTAATGCATAAATACTTTCGGTCATTGTTGCTGTGAATAACAAAGTCTGACGCTTTTGTGGTATATTGTCAAATATAACGTCAAGATCATTTGAAAACGTTGAGGATAAAAGACGATCAGCTTCGTCAAGCACCTACTTAATTTTTAAAATGTAAATAATAGCAGTGAATAATCATGCATTCTTTGACTTGATAATGAATAGAAAATAATAGCAAAAATAATTATTCAATGCTTACTAGGAATTGAATTTTTTTAAGATTAACTGCATTTGCACTACTATTAATATGATCCACCAATCGTCCTGGAGTTGCGATGACAACATGAGGACTACGAGAAAGTTCGAGTGCTTGACTCATCATATCCAGACCTCCCACAACAACACATTCTTTAAGATTGATTCCTTTTCCTAGAACACGAAACTGTTCGGCAATTTGGAATGCTAATTCCCTATAAACAAAAAAATATTCAATCGCGAAAACTTCTAGTAATAAGGACTATTGTTGCATTAAAAATAAATGTGTCGGAATACCTTGTAGGAGTAAGAACCAAAGCAAATATACCATACGGGTCTTGGGACAACTTTTGAAGTATTGGCAAAGCAAATGCCGCCGTTTTACCGGACCCGGTTTTTGCTCCGCCTATACAGTCTCGTCCAGCTAATATTGGTGGTATACATGCCGTTTGAATTTCTGTTGGAAATCGGATGGACATTGCTCTTAACGCGTCCACGAGCCAAGCTTCAAGCCCTAAATCTTCAAAAGTACTTATTGCATTGTCATTATCGAGGGTTGAGGTTGAAGAATATTGACTCATTTCATCTATTTCAAACATGATTAAAAAGTTTTTTATCTTGTAGAACATAAAAAAATTATTACACAAATAAAATTACGAAACAGCGCGCCCTTTCTCGAGTTTTGAACACACCTTAACTTATTTCAGAATGCACGACTTTCCGCCTTTAAAAAATGATCTTTTACTTCGAGCTGCTACCGGTTAATATTGGAAATATCTACTGTTCTCCTAAAAATTCGCGTTATATACGTCATACAATAACTTTGAATTTTCTTATCATATAACTTACAGGGCAACCTACCGAACGTGCACCAGTATGGATAATGAGACAAGCTGGGAGATACTTGCCTGGTAAAATAAGAATGTACAGAAAAAGTTGACATTGTATTATGCAAACTAATTATTTTTTTTTAAAAAAAAAAGAATTCAATAAAGAACGCGAAAAGCATGATTTTTTCACGATATGTCGAACTCCAGAACTAGCCACCCGCGTCACACTACAACCAATCAATAGATACGACGGACTATTAGATGCGGCAATTATATTTTCAGATATTCTTGTAGTTCCGCAGGCTCTCGGTATGGTCGTTGAAATGATACCCGGCAAAGGTCCGAATTTTCCTGAGCCTTTAGTTTTGCCCGAGGATTTAAAGAAATTGAAAGAAGTAGTAGATGTGAATAAGGAACTGGGATACGTGTTTGATGCGATCACAATGACACGTAAAGCTTTGGAAGGCAGAGTTCCTTTGATTGGATTTATTGGTGCACCATGGACTTTGATGGCTTATATGATTGAGGGTGGTGGTAGCAGTTCATTGTCAAAAGCGAAAACATGGATATTTAAGTATCCCGCGGATAGTCATAAATTGTTACAGAAAATCACGGACATTGCAGTAGATTTCTTGGTGGGACAGATAAAAGCTGGTGCTCAGGTAATAATTAAAACGAATATTCATTATTTATCTTGCAGTTTTGCTGAAATCTCTTACAATTTAAGATCGTACAAGTATTTGAATCATGGGGAGGCGAACTTTCACCCCACGATTTCAACACTTTCTCACTACCATATCTAAAACAAATCGCGCAACGCGTAAAAAAACAACTCTCGCAAGACGGGCTACCTTCTGTCCCGATGATAATATTCGCCAAAGGTTCATGGTACGCGATCGAATCATTATCTGAGATTGGGTACGATACGATTTCATTGGATTGGACAGTGGACCCCGCCTATGCGAAATTAATCACAAAAGATCGAATCACTCTTCAAGGAAATATGGATCCTTGTATGCTGTTTGGCGGTGATGACGCCATTCGAGCAACTGTACGAAAGATGTTGACTGCTTTCGGCACAAATCGACGGTATATTGTGAATTTGGGGCATGGAATTTTACCGACAGTTGATCCGGAAGCAACTCGTGTTTTCTTGGAAACTGTGCATAGTGTTGGGCTGGAATTAAATAAAAATTGAGTTTTTATAGTTATAAAGAAATATACTTAGAAATAATGCTTATGATTCTTCAATATCGTGAGATATATAACAAACAAATAAAGAAATTTGTGCAGTACTATAAGTTCTACAATATTGTTATTCGAATGTACACATATATTACGATTTATTAAACAACTAATCCAATTAAACACATCCATATTAGTATTTTCTCCACCAAATAGCATTTCCACAAACAATCAAGATAAACGATACGTCAATAACAACCACAGAAATGATAATGTGCGTTGATTTGCTTGTGAGTACAATTACAGGATTATTTTGAGCGTTATCATTTGATATGCAATTAGACTTTAACAAAAATGTAAGGAAAAGTGATCTGTTTCTTCCCATTTTTGCCTATCGTCAGAAAACATCATTTTTTTTATGCGGACCATGCTGGGTAACCGGCGGATACAAATTGTCTATATTCGTTACACCATGCACGCCGGCATGATACGGATTTCGATGAAATAAGAAATTTTGGGTGGATTATTATTACCGAAATACTCAAATTGTTGCAATGTGAAATCTTTATAAACCCTCAATTTTCTTTGATGATCACATAAGATGCATATATTAAACAGGTATATTCAGTTAAAGCCGCATCATTTACTTTCTCTTTCGCAGCACAAGAGGCCTCCACGAGTAAGTTTACATCTACCAGTAGTCTGTTGCATAGATAGTGTTCAGCATCTGCTTTCCATGTGGTATTTGCATGCTGATCTGTTCAGCTAAAATATGAACTGCTCCGATTTTTTGCCCAAATTCAAAATCTCGTTTTGTGTGGAAATCGACAGACTATAAAATAATTTTTAACATTCAAAAATAACTAGACTCATTTGTTGCTCGATGTAGCCATAATGCATTCCAAACTAGTTCGTTTTTGCAGTCGGATGAAGCATAAAATTTTCCTGCAGTAGGAACTGAATTCTGATACAAATTGAATGGAATAGATTCCGCCAAATTGTAAAGGCCGGCCTTTGGCACGGAAGATTAATGTGTTAGCATAAGAAATATCATTAAGTTTATCTCATCGTTATAATCCAAGTATAATTAAATTAAGAGAATATTTACTTCACTTAGCGTCAGTACCCCAATAATTATGATCTATGATACCCATCTCCAATTGGACGTATCTTTATTTATTAATCAATCTATGCCCTATTTTATCATTTCATAATATTTGTCTGATTGGATATTCCGTACCCTTGGAATCAAAGTGAATTTTATGTAAATATATAAATAACTTTTTTAAATAAATTTTATACTCTCTACATTTTATACGATTATTGGGAAGCAGCTTACCACTTTGCTGCGTTTCATAAAAAATATATTCAATTGTCGGGTGTTTTATCTAGTATAATTATTGATATGCATGATATCTTTTGATATAATCTTCTCCGTATAAACAAAGTACAATACATTTTAGATTTTATGAGAACACGAAGTATAAGAATCTGTCGAAAAACAAACAAGAATACACGTGTTTTTAGATATGTGGTGTGGAGGACACGTTCAAAACTCGTTTTTAATTAAATATTCAAAAATAGAAAAGATATTAAACCAAAAATAGAAAAATATAAACCAAAAAAAAAACCACATTATCGTTATCGGAGATGCGTGTCACACATTGTTTTTTATAATAATTCCTTTTTTATACAAGACCCCAAAGATCGGTATAAGTGGATCTCGAATCTTTTTATTCAGGCGAGGCAAGGAACCTTTTTTTTTTAAGTAAAAAAATCAATAACTCCTAAACGAAAATATTTTTAGATGTTTATATGAATATCCGATTTCTCTGTAAACAAAATCTCAAAAAAAGTTTGGGTAACAAATAAATTATAACTATATTTAGAAACCAAGAATAATCTATATAGAAAATACACATAACTAGTCATTCTTATCTAATATTTTTACATTTCTGCTTCGACGCCCAATTAACAAACTTGATAACACCATCATGTTGCAGAAGCATTTCCAGCGTATTATACGTGTATGCCATATCAGCATGAGAAATCATTTTATGACAAGCATTATGACAAGGTCGACAGATCATAACACCACGAGTTAACACTTCTTCCTTGGTGAACAGTTTCCGTTTCAAAACTTTTTTGTGCATATATCGAGGAATCAAGTGGTGGAAAGTGAGACGCATGTGACGATGACAGAGTTGACATGTTCCTGGTTCATATTCTTCTTCTTCATCGTTAAACTCCTCCTCCTCCTCCTCCTCATCATCATCATCATTTTCATCATCATCTTCTAGTTGTTTGGTTTTGGAGATTGAAATTGTTGGATTAATTATGAGTTTCCATTTATTTAAAATATCACGAGATATTTCTATGCATTTTTCGTCGTTTTCACAAACGCCAAATGTAATGAAATCAACTTTTATTACTTCACAAATTTTGGCGATTATTTCTTGTTCATTAAGTTGGATACCATTGTTACTATCATTACTTGAGTCAACTATCTTTGAAACACTATTACTATAGTTATCAGTAGCACCACTATTACTACTAAGATCGATTAACGACACCTGCTGTAAAATTCCCTCGTCCCAGACTTGCTCCGCGAGATACTCCAAAAAGTCTTGTTCGTCGTCACCAACAACGTCCGGATTATGCGTGCACAACACCTGGTAAAAAGTCGTTTTGAAAAGCACAAATTTTCTAAGTGCTCTTGTTGTACGTTTTGTTTTGTTGCTATTTGCATTTTTACTATTGTTATTTCTCTTTTTTGGTTTTGTCTCTTTGAATGTTGCAAACATGTTTGTAGCGGGTGATGTAACAATATAATGACGGTGATATTATGTATTATCGTATTATGATTTATTATTAGATCAATAGAAAAACCGGTTCTTGTTCTTTATTGAATGTTGATCCAAGATCTACCAATAAAAAAATTATACATGCATGCACCTTATTTGTGTGATCAGGCGTCAATCTGCACCCCCCAAAAAATGTTTTTTCGCACTTGTTGTGACAGATTAAAATGAAATATCACAATAATTATTATAGTATGTGACATAAAAGAATTATACCAGCATAAATTAATCTGTATTCTATTAATAATTTTGGCTAAATGATCTATCTGATCTGCATAATTTGGCCAAAAATTTCATTTAATCTACGACATTTATAATACAGACAATATTACTATGTAAATGCCAAGGCTCCATCAAATGCTCGAAGGAAAATTCCCCTCCCCCACAATTTTAACATATACTTTAGACCCTCCAATTCTTTGAATATTATCACACCCACCAACTACAAGTCTTGGACGTATGAGCTTCATTTCGAATACTAATATGAACCCTGCTTTGGTGATTAGACGTTGGTAAAAGCGGTAATGTGCCCAGAAAAGCATTTTTCGAACAGTTTTTCGTGTGATTTTCCGCGTCTTACGATCACCATATCTGATATTTCAAAGGAATCAAATCCACGAGTAAAGAATGCAACCAATTTTCGATGAATTTCAATTTGCAAACTTTTACGTCGCATTCGAAAAAAACATTAACTCTTTGCTTTTCGCTTCTTCGAAAGTTTAACAATTGAAAATATGGAATTTTCAATTGTTTAAATGAAGTTCATGTTTAAATTGTCTTTTCCTGCATCTTAAAGTTGATGCGGCCAATTGATCTTTTTTTGAAATAAGATTATTCATGTACTTGCATAGGCGAACAATTCGTCCAATATCCTTAGTATATGCAAAGCTGTTCAAATCCAGGATCAATAGAGACTACATTTGATAGAGCCACCCGCTTGGGTTTCGCAGACTTGTTTTTGTATCTCACATACCCAGGAAAATGTCCATTGATTAGTTAGGCATGAATAAGTAGGTTTTGACATCACAAATAATTTTGTGAGGCATGGCCATTTATTAGTTTGGGAGGTCAGAAAATATCTTTATCCTTATACATGAAAATTAATCAATTAATTAATTAAAAAATTGATTCAAATCAATTAATTCTACCTCATAACGATGTGTATAAGTATATGCTGATAGCGTGTGCAAGTATGAGATATAAAACAATTCCAGATAAGTTTTGTGCACGAAAGTAAGCGTTTGACGTAGATCTGTCCGAGATTGAAAATGTATGCGACCTGAAGCCTTGATTTGTATTACGCTTAATTATTTCAATTAATGCTTCTAATCAATAGTGTTAACCGTGTGTGCCCCGAAATGACATATCAAAGACGAACAACAGCTCGTAAAAACTTGCGTTCGCCCCATACTACAGCTTTTTGCATCTTGTCTATCCGAGTTAAGGGATTGAGGCTTATTCCAATTCGTTTCGTCAAACCAGTATAGCAGAAATATATGAAATGTATTTACGGAATGATAATATATACAGACCAGTGCATTGAATAATTATTTCAAGTAAAATTACTATATACAGCACTATCGCTATGTAAATAAAATAATGCAATTATCTTATTATTCACCAAGAACTAAGTATAGTCACACCTTCAGAGATAAAACATGTGACTATATAGAGATGTGACTATTATTGAGGCAACCTCTATATAATCACAATTATATTGAAAAATATAATTAGTAACAAGGTTTTATTTATTGAGAAATAAAAAGTATCGGTGGCTTTTTTTTCGCGCGCGGTCTTTATTCCCCGCTAAAAATACTATTTACAGCAACGACCAAAACAGCAAGAATAAATTAACGACAACAAGAATAATAACTGGTTGTTTATCTATTTCCCTTTTTTCTCTTTTTTTCCGCTGGTTTTGTTGGTAACCAACAAGAAGAAAAATCGTCCTTGAAAATTCAAAAGCATTATTAAACAAGTTAAAAATGGCAATGAACTATGGTTTTAATTCTCTTTCGTTTCAACAGAAAGCTACAATTATGACACATAGCAATCACCATGGTAACAGTAATGGCAGTCACGACTCTACGAATAACTCGCCTCGGCAAGCAATAATATCACCAAATTTACACGAACAGCATCACCAAAAATTGCAACCACCACCGCAAAGAATAGCATCGCCGCAAACAAAATCATTCAACATTTCTTCCATGTTAAATCCCGCTCCTTCGCCACCTCATCGTCCCTCACCTCAACAACAAAACAACAGTAGCACTGGTTCCTCCCCCCCTACTCTGCAGCTTACACCGATTGCTAGTTCTCAGTATTTCACAGTTTCAAGAGAAGTGGGCTCTAATAACCATTATCAATCTAGAAGAATTTCACAGACACCGACTACACAACTTTCTTCCCCCCCTCCTCATTTTCTTCCTTCTTATTCCGCCTTTCACGGTATTCCCAACTACTCGAGTTCTTTGACAATAACAAATACCACATCAACTTCGACACCTCCTCCAAATTCTTCCTACTTAAACAACACCACGATTGGTAGCACAAACGGTAGTAATAATGGCAACAATCTTAATAAGAGTAATAGCAGCAATAATTATCATCATTCTCACCAGCCTATTAATTTTCCAGCAGTGCATTTCAATTCCTCTTCGAATTCACCAAATTCACAAATTTCCTCCTCGAGTATCAGCACCCCACTTTCTATATCTCCCTCATTAACGGTAATTAACCATCATCATCATCATCCTCATAATCATGTTCCTAAATCATCCATCATTTCCTCCTCCTCATACACTTCGTCGCCTGATCAAGAATCCTCGTCCCCGGTGACGGCTACAACTCATTTTTCTGCAATAACGAGGAATTCCGTGTCTACTTTGCCTGAATTCACTCCATTAAGGCAAACTTCGAATCACATCATCAACAAAATTGACATTAACAGTGGATTTCGGATTGAAGAAAAGTTGGTGAAAAATCAAGAGTTAATTGTCCAACCGGTGCATCTTTCTCAGCAACCACCACAACTAAATCCGCATTCACTTTCATATTCACAACAATCACTTTCATCACCACCGCCTTCGTCATCCATTATTAATCAATCTGTTGTCGCGAATAATGATAACATTAATATTTTGGCTATTGCAGCTACCGTAGTGCAAAATAAGAGTTCACAAGAATTTCAAATTCAACAACGACAAAATGATAAGGATGATGTTAATGTATCATTATCGTCGTCTAAAATAGACAAGAAACAACAGCAAGAGGATGATTCGTCAAATGCTGTCATCAGCCCCTCGAAAAAGACAGAGTCGCTATACTCTAATGATTCGTATAATAATAGTAACAATAACAATAGGGACATTATGGTTCCGCCGAGTACCACGGAATCATACGAATTGATTTCTCATAATTCACCTGCCATGTCAAATACTTCTGCAGATGGCGTTTACGAATACGAAGAACCAATTAAAGGGGAGGAAGAAGAATCAATGGTATCAGACATTGAAGGTGAAATTAAAGTGATTACTAACGAAACAAACGAGGATTCAAAATCATCGACAACTACGTCAGACAATTATCAAATTAATAATCGTCTCGACAGTTACATCACTAAAGAATCTATAAACAATCAAGAAGAAAGTTCATCGGGTGAGAAAGAGTACACGCGTCGTCCTCAAAAAGCTGAAAGTTCACGCCGCAAAAAAAACAAATTAGCAACACAAAAGAAACCAGCCAAAAAGACTAATGCACGTGTCTCATCCAACAAAAAAGGTATAAAACGTCGCTCTTCAGAATCGGTGGTTGCCGACTCGGGAGATGACGATTACAGCCCAAAATCTGACATGAGCCATCCAAATAGTAATAATACTATTAATAAAAAGCCGGCAAAAAGGCAGAAAAAGCAATCGCGTTCAACTTCTGCACACGTTAGCAAAATTAATTCACCTAATTTATTGTTGACAAATAAGGGATCAACAGCCGAAGAGATAGGTTTGGATGATTTAGTACAGCCAGATAATAAGCTGTATTGTATCTGTCGAACTTTGTATGATGGTCTTCGATTCATGATTTGCTGTGATAATTGCTCCGAATGGTATCATGGTGACTGTGTAAAAATATCCGAAGAAGAGTCTTTATTAATTGATAAATACTACTGTCCAAGTTGTACTGGTAAGGATTTTAAATTGCTTTGTTTATTATGGCGGTGTTCTTTGAAAATTTTCTCTAACTTATAAATTAATTAAATTAGCTAAAGGTCATAAATCCCAATGGATACCCAGATGCAAAAATACACCATGTAATAAACCAGCACGGGTACCAGAATCTAAATACTGTTCACGTGAATGTGGTTTAGCATGGGCACGTGCTCGGTTAGCAGAATCCGAAGAAAAGCGTGCGAAGCTATTATTATACTTGAAGGCCAACGAAAAGAAAACCAAGAATTCACCAAAAAATACAAGTAATAACAATAATATCGCCAACAGCGGCGTGAAATCCAAAAAATACACCAGAAACCTGGCAGCTGAACGAGAAGATTTTGCACAACTAAAACGAATACACGACGAGCTGGAGAAAATCAAACGATCCTTACAAGTTAACCGAAAAAAAGAAAAAATACTAGACAAAGTCAAATCGCGGTGGGAAATCAGCTGCGAAGGGATTACTGTTGAGAAACAACAACAGTGTGGCTTTGACAAATATTTAGTCTGGGGCGATGATTTACCAGACGACGAGGATCGAATGTGTGAAGCTCCGCCGGAAGATAATGGTAATGTCTGCTTGGAATTAAAGACCGCTTGTTATAAGCATCGTGGGTGGCAAAAGACCAAAACGATGGAAGTCGAGCAAGAGAAAATTTTGCAAGTTTGTATTTATTTTCGAAAATTTTCTGTTTGTAATTTTATTTGATCGTCGCATCGATATTGATCTGAATATTTTTATTTTTATGTTTTGCTTTACAATAGACCAATCAATTAAATAAACTCGTTGCGGAAGAAAAACAAATCAGGTTACGTATAAAACGACGACGAACAGATTTAGCTTCTGCGCTAATGAATGGGACAATAGAACATACTAAACATAAAAATGCTGCTGATTCCAAGACAACTGTTAACAAGTCTTAACAAATAGTAATAACTTAAATTAAATGGACAATCTTAAATCTTTTTCCATTAATCTATTATATAGTCCTATTTCAGAAAATATGTAATTCGCTTATTTTCTTTATTGTAAATAAAAATTTTCAGTTCTAGTAATTATATACAACTTATAATCATAGTGAGTGCTCATAAAATCGCTGACAATTTAAACACGTCATGTAGGTACATATGGTGCACCGCACATTAATATGAGAGAATTTACGAACACGATCAAAGAATCATTAGTACCATAACATTTATATATATAATTAATATTATTTTTTCATATCATATCCACGGTCTATTATTAATGAATCTTACTGATTTAGCTTTTTTATCAATAATAATTGGATCTCATCCTAGGAAATTAAATAAGAGTGAACATAGCCATTAAATAAAATTATATGCAAAACATCATAACTCACCAATAAAATTGAGTAACTTTAAAATCTATTAGTACTTTGTAGAGAAAAAATCTAATTTGTGAGAATTTAAAAGTTTCAGACTTTATTCAGAGTTCAAGTCCAGTTTCTTTTTTATATTATTTATATAACTTGGAATAAATATTATCTGTTAAAATTCCAATTAATTTAGCCTGTCAATCTAAATATTCAGGAATTAAATACAAAGTCTCCTGCTCTATAGAGATTTTATCAAACTTGGTCTGTATATTCATTATATAATTACAAAGCAATTTAATTTCTCACATTAAAATTAAATAATAAATATATCTACTTTGTAACTACCTTTGATAATCTTTATTGCATAGTAATAAAATATAAATGTAGATAGATAAAGTTTATGCAATCATTGCAATTTCATACTTCTTATATTTAATGTAATAAGATTCATCTTTATATTTTTCTTCTATATCTTTCTCGTCATCATTATTTTTACTACTAAATTCATAATATAGATCAGGATATTATTTCAATACTTTATTACAAAAATTAATATAGACATGAATCAGATTATTTTGTTCTTTGGGTAAGATCTTCTTGGGTTGAAGTGTGAGTGATATACTTGTCTGAGTTTTCAAATCAGAAATCTAAGATATAGATGATATACTCATCTTGATTTCTTTTCATTAAATGAGTTTCAGCATTTAACATAATAAGAGCTATTTGTGCATTGACTAACTATACCAAATATATGCTTTTTATTATGTTCCTGCTCCTATTCTGGATATATTTCTGAATTACTAAATTCATAGCAATCATTACAATCATTACTATAGTGTAAGAATAGATAAGAATATTGTTTCAATACCTTATTGATATAGGTAGCACAAGCATCATATGAAATAACTGACATAATCTTTTTGAGTTGAGAGATTGATGGTAAACTTATTTTAATTATCAAGTCAGAAGAGTCAGAGGCTTGGGATTTGAATTGCATACTTATATTGATTTAAAGTTTGACTGATATACTTACTTTTACATCTGATTTTTTTAGTGAAACTGGCATGACCAAAGTCACATTAGTCTGATTATCCTCTGAGAGAATGATTTTTAAAATCACTTGATTTATAATATTTTGGATTTATATATTAATCAGTTTTGAAATCTTATTTGTACTATAAGTGACTTGCTTAATTTTATCTATTCTAACTCCATCTTTTCTGAATAACATAAGAAATTTTCTAGTTCTAAAGATTTTTTTGCGCAAGTTATCTTGTGTAATATTAGGAAGAAAAGGTTTTATTTCTTTATAAATCACTGTTCTAGCTATTTTATCTTTTATTTTACCATCAGCTATAATATTATGAATCTTATTTTTGAATTCAAGAGAATAATAATACCAATTTAAGATTCCTGTTATCTTGATTTGATTACTATTTTAAATAAATGAGATAAATATTGGACAGAACCTGAAATCATATTCTCTAAACTAACGCAAGAGCTGATGATTTTAATAGAGTTGATATTATCTTCAGATAATATAAATGAATACAATTTGCGTATTAGATCTTGTTCTATAATTTGATTTTTATCAGGTGATTCATCTAAAATTAGTTTATCATCTTGCTTCACAGATACTTCAGTTTTTGGAGTATCTGGAACATGATTTTGATTGTTTCCCAAGAGAATAGTTTTTTCGAATTCTCTCAAATTTTCTAAAATTATCCAATTATTTCCTGAGAGAATAGTTTTTATATTGCATGATGAGTTAGAAATAACTGAGTCCTGAGTAGATAATTCATGCTGAAATTTCTTTTCCCATCTCTTTTCTCTAATCTTATCACTGATATTTTTCTTATGTATCTTATCCAAGAAAGCATCCATCTTCCTTTTCTCTGATGACTTGGTGTTTATATTATTAAGCTAGTTTACTATGAGATTGAATATATTAACAGCTGGTACTTTTGGTATCACTTTCTTATCATTCTATAACTTTCCATCTACTGCCAAGAAACCCTGTTTCAATATTACAAGTCTGACCTCAAGCTCTATATTTTTTTGTTCTAGTTTCTTGACTCTAGCATCATGTCTGGAATTCTCCTCAATAATCTGTCTCAATTTTATATTCTCAGCTTTAACTTTAGTAATCTTCTTTCTAAGTTTAAAAATCTTGACATTCTTCTTTCTAAGTTCAAAGAATTTAATTTTTGCAACAAATCAATTTTGGATTGTCTGACATTTATATAAAAAGCACATTTTTTTATCAGACATGAATTTTATAACTGGCTGATAACTATATTGCACATCAGAAATCTGTATCAGATTTTGTTAATCATTAATCAGATATGATATCTAATCATCAGTTCAGATTATTAGCTGTACTAAATTTTGTATATATATATTTATTAACTAATTGTTTTTCAGCATAAAATTAAACATGAGAAATGGTAAGTGTTCATTAAGGTCATATTGAATAATATATTATTTGTGAGGTTAAGAATATTTAAAGTGCTACTTAATGTCACATTCTTGTCAAGAAATATTATCATAATAACTCGCTCAACACACTTCAAGTCAAAATAAGTAAATCTCATAATAACTCATCCAATATATTTCAAGCCAAAGTAAATGAATCTCATAATGGCTCATGTAATACAGCAGTATCAAAAATATTTCTGAATTTGCCAGATTATAATTAATAATATCAAATTAGCAAAAAGGAAGAGGAATTATTAATTTAGAAATGCTAAATAGAAATCTATACATTTGTATTGATCAATTATAAAATAATTAATAATGAAAAGATCTTTATTAATGAAAAAATCATTGTTAATGAAGATATAATTAATCAGATTAATTATTAAATAATAAAGTATATTAATACTATGTAAACAATTCATTCTACATATTTATAAATGAATTATTTTAATGAGATAATAGTCAAATAATAATAATAAGAAGCCAATACAAAATCCAATATATTACATAAATCCATTAATTCAATTAATTTTTATCAATATTTTGACCTAAATTATGTTCTTTTTTATTAACTTTCCAAATCTTCCATGCTAAAATAGCAAATGAATTACTATTTTCTTTTTCTATATAATTAGAAAGTCTTCTTTTTATATTACTAAATCCTGCTATTTTTTGGCATTTTACTGATTCAACTTGCACGCAAATTTTTGCATTACTTTTAATATGAGCATAAGAATTAATATCATGATCGATATTATAGAGAAAAAATATTAATTACGAATTAGATATGGCTTTTGCTACATTATATCACTTAATAAACTTATTAAGAGCAATAGAAAGATTTGGATCATTATTCTTGTGATCATTTTTAATTATCTCAATAAATAATTCAAAAGATACAAAATCATCTTTATGTACTATATCAAATTTAATTAAAAAAAATAGTTAATTAAAATAATAAATAAAAAATAAACTTAAAGTAAACATACTCATCCTTCAAAGCTATCTTATTAGATTGTAACTTTTGGATAATATCGTGAAAGTTTTGGACATCATGAGAATTTTGGACTTTATGAGAGTTTTGGACTTTATTTTAGACTTCATGAGAGTTTTGGACTTCGTGAGAGATGATTAAATTTAAATTATAGTTAATAAAGCATGCATATGCAATAGTACATAAAAAAAATAATTCTCAAAAATAATTCCTAAAAAATTATTAAGTTAGATAAAAATAAAAAAACTAAACTTACCATATTAAGAATGTAATGATGCATAAAAGGAGTGATTCTCAGAAATAATCTTTAAAAAAAGTATTAGATTTAGATAAATAAAAGAAAAAAAGTAACTAGAACTTACCACACATAATATACATGTAATTAAAGTGATCATTAGAAGTTAAATATGGAATAAAGTTCAATGATCTGATATGAAATTTCATAGCCATGGCATCTTGATGTTTATATGGTACTCCAAATAATCCAATGGGACAAGTAAATGTACCAATCTCTATATTAATAGTATAAAATAATTCAGAATCATTCTGTTGACTTGGAACTAGATATTTAGCATATACTTTCATTTATTGGATTTCTAATACATTAATTATCTCCCAATCTAGATGTAACAATTTTGATTGGGTTATCTTCCTTTAGGTCTCTTTTAGTTTAGATCTTTATTTTGCACTATCTGTATAACAGATTAGCTTTGTATTACATTTTAAGAAGATCATTTTCAT